CTGCTCTGGAATGGAATTTTCCTTATTTCCTAAAAGTAAGTAGATGCATAAGAAGATACTCCCTTAAGCAAGGTCCAGATTGAATGAGTGCTCAGGTTACTCAGAGGGTGTGAACAGGCAAAGGGTGTGAGCTGACTGCTGGCAAGAGAGGAAAGGAGAGATCCCTTTTTCACGGTGACTGTGCTTACGTCATCTTCAGTGAAAAGAATGCAAACGCATATGTGCGTTTTGCTAAGAGCAGCCTGCCCACACACTAGGTTACGTGCGCAGTAAGTAGGGGAGTGTCAAGATGTCGACAGTTACTTTGGAGGAGGATTCCAGGTGATGGGGGAGGGGGTGCCTCGTTTGCCGTGCACATTGCCTCCAGCCAGCACGTGTTTCACGGTCCTGGAACAGAAGCCACATGCGAGGGCTTGTCCTCTGCCACAGGGCGCGCCCTGGGCCGCCTCCTGCGCCCGCTGGCTTTCCTGTGCAGGTGCATCAGAGAGCCGCTCTTCCTGCCACCACCGCGTGTGACGTTTCAGAATCGAGGCGCCCTGGCACGCGCCTGGGTGAAGACGTCACAAGGATGGGCTGGTTCATTCTAGCCTGTGCCCTGGCAAGGACCGGGCCTCTTGAGAGGAGCAGCCCGCCCGGCCGCAGTAGCAAGGCCCCGTCTTTGGAGAAGATGCCTTACACCCTCGGTCAGGTTTTTATTTGGCCCTTTAGGTGCTAGAGCTGCGTGAACACACGCCTAGGGAATTCCGAAGGGAGTCGGACCGCGGGGCCATTTCCGAAATGATTCTTTCCTGGGGAGTTTGTTCACACCTGTGTCCTTGCTACTTGTAAGAAGTGGGAAAGCACTTCAGCACGCGTGTTAGGCAGACTCACGGGGATGGCGCCCCGAACTCTGCTCTGAAATAGCGTGCTTACAGAGGTCGTTTTCAGTCACGTGAAGGTCTCCCACCCACGCTCCGGTCCCTCGGCAGCCCCCTCCCGGGGCAGTTCGGGTACTCTGCCCTGTAAGACCGGGTTTGCGCCGCCTAGGCGGGTCTCGGCGCCGATCCGGCCTCTGCTCATCCTTCCCCACCTGCACCCCACAGACACCAGGTGGTTTGTAGTCGTCGAATGGCTGGGAGGGCGCAGTCGAAGAAAGCTTCTGGAGGTTAAGGAAACCGTGTTTTAAAGTAGGGTGTGGTTATATATTTACTCTGAATATTTGACTTTTCCATTTCCCTGAGTGTGCTATAAAATGGGGCATATGCGATTTTAATTTTCCTGGGATACTTATTTCATTGGGAAAGAGCTCCCCATCAGCAGAACACCTTTTGTCTTAGGTATTTGGCCCCTGGCTTTGTGTGTGGCGAGGGCTCGTGAGCTTGTAATGAGTGGTTTCTGGTTGGGCTTTGAAAGAACAGTATGATCGATTTTAGGCTAACGCTCAGCTTTCAGGTAACTCGTGCCCTCCTTCCAACAGTCCCGTGAGGGCAACAACACTCTCGTCACCCCTTCCACGGGTCAGGGGGTGCAGGGGCGCAGAGAGGCCGCCGGGCTGGGCACTCACGACGGTGGGCGGCAGCCTTACAGGTCTGCCTGGCAGGTGGCCCTGCCTCACCCCCGTTGCTTTAGGACAACGTAGCTGCTCTTTGCCCACCTTGTGCGTCAAGCTGGTGGCTCTGATGTAGTGCGGCCGGATTGTGCATACACAGGTCACTACACACGCCGGACATTTTGGTCATCAGGCAGTTAAATGATAACTTCTCAAAAGGAATTTTCTGCATCAGGGCTTGCAACAGAGTTTTGGGGAAAACCCCCTTCCTACCTCACTTTGCTTCCTTATTCTGTGCTCTCAGGGCGGGGCAGCCTTCCTTTCTCACAGTCCCTTGGTGGGTCTGTTTGACCGGAGTCAGGGCCTGAGTGACACTTCGCCCATTTTGCTAATAACAATGTCTCCAGATGTTGCCAGATGCCCGTGGCAGGGGGCGGGTTATAGTCTCCCCCAGGTAAGAACTCCTGCTCTGAATAACGTGTCCTACCGGCTGGCTGAAGAAATCTGGCTGAGTGTTCAGTCTTCATTTCACCAAGCACTTTGACGGCCACGGGGTGACACAGGTGACGTCCTGCCTGGGGACGCCCTTCGTTACCGGCCACTGGGCCTCCCAGAGCTCGAAGAGGCCCCTCTGCCCACACGCTGCCGGTGCCCTCTTGGGCCTGGGAGCTCCTTGTCTTGCTTAGAAGGTTGTTAACAGAAACTGAGCTCTTTGTCCTGGGAACAGACACGCAGTTGAGATAAGCGGCCTTAATTACAGAACAAGCACAGGCGACAGGCTCCACCTTGTAGAAACATTTTTGTCCAGATAACATTTTCCTTGCTGACTTCTGGTAAGTAAAATCCTCAGAATGTCTCCTGGTGGGAAGCCAGCGGCCTGGCCTCCGGTGGCAGTGCCGTCCGGACGGAGCGTGTTGCAGGGCTGTCCCCTCTGACTCCTTTCCCTCTCTCTCCAGGAAGGACCGCAGTGTGAAGTACCCCGAAGACCTTCCCATCACCCTTCCCAATCTGCTGAGGTTCATCCTGCATCACTCGGACCCGGCTTCTTCCCCTCGGAGCCGGGCTGATCCTCCCACCAAAGAGTGTGTTCAGAGCGAGGCCGTCTTCCAGCAGGGGCACATCTCCCACTTGGAGAGAGAGATCCGGAAGCTGAGGGCGGAGATCGGCGCCCTGCAGCGGGCGCAGGGGCAGGTGGAGGCCCAGCTCTCGAGCGCGCGCAGGGACGGGCACCGGCTGCTGCGGCAGAAGCAGAGCCTGGAGGCGCGGCACGGGCTGCTCCGGCTGCACAGCGAGCAGCTGCGGGCGCTGGCCGAGCGCAAGGCCCGCGAGCTCGAGGAGCTGGCCCGCAGGCTGCAGGAGCTGGCCGACGCCTCGCAGGACCTCCTCACGGAGAACGCGTGGCTCAAGATCCTGGTGGCCACCATGGGGCGGAAGCTGGAGGGCCGGGACGGAGCGGAAGAGCTCGCTCCCCCGCGAGAGGCCCGCCCCGACCACCCCGAGCCTTCAGGTCCCCCCCGGCTCCCGGGCAGCGCCCCTCCGCCTCCCAACGTCAGCTCCGCGCCGGCGTCCGAAAGGAGTGATGAGAACAGGACGGGCTGACTTGTAAAACGACACGAAGAAATCTGAGGAGAAAGCTGTACGTTGGGAATATATTTATGCAAATTTTATTGAAATTTATTGTAAATAAAGATTTTCTCAGTGGTCTAGAAAATCACGTTGAGTGTCATTCAGCTTTTCTTGAACAGGGATGACATCCCTCCGCTCATGGCACAGATTTGGGAGCTTTGAGACGGAAGCAGTAGCCCAGCCCGTTTGAAGATGCGGCTGAAACGTCGGTCGGCGTCTCCGCGGCTCAGCCACAGGGTTCCCTCCCCACCCCCCCTGTTGCTTCTGTGAGGACT